TTGGTTGTGCTGTTGGTTTATCTTTTTCTTAATTCATAATGATTTATAATTAATGATATTTTCTAACTCAAAATTGTGATATTTCTTTCTCTAGAATCTTATTTAAGATTTCACTACTTTTTCAGCAAAACATAACCCTTTCTCAAAGGTCAATATCATACCAGGCACTTCCTTGGATTCAATTCGATTCGCGATAGTAAGAAATGGGCAGGTAACTGATTTAATAAGAAATTGTTTCTTCCAGATGAATTTTCAATTCGAAGAGAAAACAATTACGTATTGCAGCCATATTGTAAGATTCGTAATAAAAAATGATCTGTTTGGTTGTTGAGGGAAAAAAAAATAGTAATAAAAAATTATAGAAATTCAATATCTTAGACCATCACCATGGAACAAAGGTCTCTCATACGCCTATGGATGTTAGTTGTTTTGATTGTCATTTCTTTGCTGAATTTAAATATCTAATGATGTTTAGAGATTGTAATTGGGAATTCTCACACATACATAGAAATACATGTTTTTATTTGTTTAATTTTGGATCGAATTAGCCAATTTGCCAGTCCAATATTTCTATCCTATGATGCACACAATCCTAATTATTTTTTTCGATATCATTTTGTTGAAAATAGGTCTCTCTGGTTTTGATTTAGGACTGTACAGCTTGTTTGTTGTCCAATTACTGTTAAAAGTTTGTTTCTTCTATGACTAGTTGCTGGACAAATAGCTTGGTTGATGTAATTTATTTGTGTATGATAGTTGAAAAAGAATGGTAGCTAAAAATGATAGTTGGGAATGGTAGTTGAAAAAAAGTAGTGATTGTGTCAAAAAATAGCATTTTGGATGAAATGAACCATTAGAGCAAAATTTTTAAAATATAGCATTCTGACACTGCAACACCTCTCAAAATATAGTTTTGACATGTAAAAATAGCATTTTGCATTGGAAATGGCTTAACAACCTATATAGTTTTTTAGCAATAGCCTGGTGTCCTTGGGATTTATTAGACTAGGTGTGAAAGTGCCCAGCGTATTTCAGGGCCACCAAATCATAGTCCTGCAGGTAATCATTCATTGCTAGACACTTGTGATCACTCCCATCGTGGACTTATCTAGGCCATCTAATGGCGTTAAAATCCCCCAAAAGAATTCAAGGAATAGGAAAATCGGTGTGGCCAGCTCAGTGATACTAAGAGCCTGGATTGCAAAGTAGGGGACAAAAAATAATTAAATTCATGATTGCTTAATGATGTAGAACTAATTGCTGAAGCCTTTATGGCCTGTTTAGACCGCTAGGCCAAACAAGCATACTGACAGATTTTCTTGACTGATCCCGAAGTGAACCCGAAAGGGCCCAGTTTTATCAGAAACGACCCAACTTGCATATATCGGCAGCAAAACTGCCATGTTAGGGCGTCTTTTGGCCAAATTCAATCGTTTAGGACTCAGGAATGACGTTTTCTCATTTTTGAATATTTCGGGATTTTCGTTAGAAGACTAAACAGATTCGATTTGCTTTTTTTTTTGGTATTTAGTAGTTTTTAGTAATTAGGTTTATTTCCTTATTTTTTAAGAATATTCAGAGCAAGTTTGTTTTTGAGCAGTTTCTTTGCGCTGCTAGTTTTCTTACATTTTTATGATTTCCTTTATGCAGTTTCCTTGCGCTGCTAGTTTCCTTACGTTTTTAGGATTTCCTTTATGCTATTAGGGTTTTTATTTATCAATACATGTACTACAGAGCAAATCATTAATTCAATTATCAAATAATATATCAGATTTCTCTGAATTCTCTTTTCGTTTTGTGGATTTAAAATACCCACCTTGTGGATTCAAGGTAACCTATTCCTCGTGAACAAATTTATCGCTTCCGCTTACGTCACTTAGTGTGTCATTCATGCTCTAAATATTAAATTCTCATGCAACAGTCAATCAATTAAACCCAATAATGTACAACCTTCTAACACATTTATACTTCCAAACTATAACGCGTTTTCACAGTCAAGAATTCACTGAAATATGTTTCATACAAGTATTAAAACAAATACCTGTAAGAATGCAAGATATATATTTTCCTTATTAATAAATTCATATTGGAAAGTAAGATCTATGTGCTTTGTCCCTGACTAGTTATTAATCCATTATATAGTAAATTACTCAATTTAACAAGAAATCAAAGTCATCAACAAAGTATTTTTTATTTTTTTACAAAAATCAAAATCAAAATTTCACTAGATTAATAATAATAATCCATGATATCCATGTAGCTATATATGCCTTAGTACCTTACACACGAAGAGTCTAGGTCTTATTCCATAGGCTAACAATATGTTTACTTTGCAGGGCTGGGCCCTGTTATGTTTTATTATGATTTCTTTTGTGATTAGGTTGTCCATAGTTCGTGAACTTGCTCATATTTAAAGTTTGACCTTTATAAATTTTATAAATCCTTTTATTTATAGAAAAAAGAATAGTACATGGGCTTAATTATAAGAACGATGGTGTTAAATTTTTTTTTTTTTTTCTTTTCAATTGGATGTGAACCATAACCCAAGTTAGCCCATTATTAGTTCCGTCCCGGACTACCCAAGGAGGTCTCCTTTCCTCGTGTTGAAGCCATAAATGAAACTAGCAAAAAATGGGGTGATGGTGGAGTCAAAGGGGTTAATGGAACAATGGATCAACTGGTCAGTCATGTGAACACATTGTAGGTTGCATAGGTACCACAACTTACCAAGGGGGTGAGAAGACACAATTAGTGATAATAGGCCACTGTGAAATGGCCTTGTGGATGGTTGCCTTGGAAGGGAAAAAAAAAAAAAAAAAAAAAAAGGCCTTGTGGACAAAACCCTCATTGTGAGTCTAATTTTTGTCTCGGTCAAGCGACCAAATTATCGTTAAAAAAAAAAAACTTTGGATTTTCAACTATTTAGAAGAATTATTCACCCCTCTTACATTCCATGCTGCAGTGGTCATTGTTTGGTTGAGTTTTTAGGTCCTTAAAAGAACCTAGTGAGACTTCCTTAGATGCCTTCTGAGCTGCCTTAGCTGCTCTCCTAGCATCTTTTTCCTCAATTTCTTCCTTTGGCTAGCAGTGAGTCTAGGGGCATGGATATCATAGATTCATGGTGACAAAGTGACATCATCATCTTACCATTCAAAATAAAAATAACATCATCTTTCTCGTATCAATGCCAATAAATATTTTTTGATAAAAACCAACTAATGATTAGAATAATATAACTTTTGTTTGGTAAGTGCTACGTACATAAAGAATTGAGCATATTGTAACTGGAAGATTAAGTAAATCTTCAGTCCACATAATTAGCAATTTAGTACTCGCAAGAAAATGAGTGTAGTACTTGAATAATTGAACTTTTATGAGATGATCGAATAGGCATAAGAGAAACAACATGGTGCACACACTCCACCGTGGCAGAGAATCCAACTCTATGAAATAAAAAAGGTTGATTATGCTTACACTTCTGAGATTTGTTCTATTGATAACTAGGTGAAATGTCTAAAATATATATATACTCCTGAGGTTTGATTATACTTACACTCCCTGTCAGTTTTTATCTTAAAAAATAATATTAAATGTCTAAATTGCCCTCTTGTTATTTAATTAATTTTTAATATATATAATATCTAACAAACTAAATTACTTAAATACCCATTATCATTATAAAAATTTATCAAGAATCTTTCCAAACAGAGGCTCTTTTCTCTCTTCTCAGTTACAAACCCACCAAAACTCAACAAAAACATAAATGGCAGTCGATCCACCAGTCACCACCCTCCCTAACCACCAGGTCCAAACCCCATCTATCTCAAGTCTAAATCAAAACCCACTGTCACCACCCCCACTCACCACCCGGCCACCCCCATCTATCTCAAGTCCAAATCAACCCCTATTATTTTTTTGAAAAGGCAAATCAAATCCATATTGCTTTCTACTATGTATTTGGTATATATAACTCTCACTCTCTTTATATAGAGAAACCAAAACCCATTTTGCAAATTTTTTTTTAAAGGAAAATCAAACTCATTTTGCTTTCTATTTATATATATAACTATATATATACCGAAACCCAAACCCATTTGAAGGTTTTTTTTTTTTTATTTTTTATTTTTATTTATTTATTTTTTTTCTAAGAAAAAATGCAAATCAAACCCATTTTGCCTTCTATGTGGTATATATAACTATATATATATAAACCCAAACGCATTTTGCAGCAACGATGGCGGCGGTGATGCAATCCCAACGTTGACGAAGGTTTTGTTCGGCGACTAGCAACGGCAATGGCACGACGATGACGCGATTCCGACCTCAACAAGGGGCAATAATATGCATTTGGTGTGACCCATCGACTCTGATTGATTGAGCAATGACCAATTGTTTTTGGGTCGATTGAACCCTAAGGTATATGGAATTTTGTGAAGGAATTCGGAATGATTTGTGACTCTGTGGAAGAGGGGGTGGATAGAGGTTGCCGGTGGTTTTATTTGTGAAATATATATATGTGTGTGTATGTATGGTATATATATGTATGTATACTTTGTGGTGATGGACTGAGGTGGTAATGGCAGCTGCTACAGTGGAGATAGAGAAGAAGAGAATAAGGGTGGCTATGGGTAGAAAGAGGGGAGAGATAATGTGAGGGCTAATTTAGTCCAATAAAATATTTTGTAAAGGGAAAAGGGTAAAAAGGTCAATTCATTATGTGTCAGATGTGCAATGGACGGTATTTGTCAACTCTATCAAATTTGAGAGAGTAGCATTGTTTAAAAAAGAACTAATTTTCAATTGGCTGCTAATAGAGCAAACCTCAAAGTGCATGTGAGTGTAATTAACCCGGATAAAAACACACAGAAATAAAGATCTACCATTAAAATAATAAAACACATGCAAGTTTGAAACAATGCATGTGTCTTAGAACTGAAAACTGTTTTTCCCTAATTTTTGGTTCTCTTTTGTTTCGTAAATAACTAATACAAAGCTATGAATGCATGTGGTTGGTCCCAACTCCTAAATCCTAAGCTAGTATAAGTCGTCTAATCCCATCGTCAGAAGCATCAAGTTTTCATGCCTCCACTTACCAAGATGGCACAGTCCTTAAAAATTAATCAAACTTTAGCACCTTATGAATTTACCAAATCTTCCAACTACAATTTTTTCTTAAATTTTAATCACACTTTTGGACAAAGGAAGATAATAATACAAAAAAAAAAAAACATAGATACAAGACCGGTTGAGATCAATTTGAAATGGGAATGATTTGTGTATTTGGTCTCTACATATATAAAACTACAATTTTTTCTTAAATTTTAATCACACTTTTGGACAAAGGAAGATAATAATACAAAAAAAAAAACATAGATACAAGACCGGTTGAGATCAATTTGAAATGGGAATGATTTGTGTATTTGGTCTCTACATATATAAATATATAAAAATTACTGTATATGAATCCATATACCCTCACTAGGAATTTCTTGATGAATCACGAATATAAGATAATATCCAGAAGGTGCAAGATTACCCGAACTAGGTGTCATCACTGTCATTTCATAAGTAGAGTTCTCTACTTTTTGCACGTTATTTCCACCAAGCACCAACAATCTTTGGTTCATTGAAAATGAATGTGTATTGAATGATGGTGCTATCATTGTAACCGATACCAAATTTTCATTTATCACACCCATTACTGTGAACCGAATGGTTACCTTCTGCCCATATCCGACTTTAGTTTGAGAAACGGGAGAAACTATTTTCGGCCGCAAACTTGCGTACCCTGCATCCAAATATGACGGCGAGAACGCCTCCAAACTCAATTCTGTTGGAAAAAGGACATTGGTGAAGTTGTAGAATTGATGAGGATTGCTGCCACTAACAAGAACCCTGCCATCACGAAGTAGAATTGCCGTCGAGTGGTACATGCGGGGTATGGTGCTCGGGTTTTGTATCTCAAACCGAGACCCTATTGGGCTATTGTGCCGATAAATTATGGGTTTGAGAACCGGGTCCCGAGCATAATCCCATCCAGCAACACCGGATGCCGCACCGCTAATGATTAATACGTTACCATTTGGTAGTAAAAGCATGTCACCCATAACCCGAGGCAGAGGCATTTTCTCCAGAACCCACTGTGGATTCGGGTCGGTTATTTTGATACGCCCACACGTATCCAAAGCCCCGACAAACTTACGTCTTTGGATCACGCTGATGAACGATCCTTTCGGTGCACCACCGCAAACCAAAAATTCAGCTTCAATTTGAGGTCCCTGTAAGTCCTTCAATGGGAGGAGAACTGAAGATCCAGTGCTCGGATAACTCCGAGGATCGCCACCAGGGATTTCTGGGTACGTCCTCACGACGACACCTTTCAAATAATCGAATAATATAGCTCGATTATTAGCAAAAATAAACAAATTTCCATCAACATTAAGAAAAACAAACGGGTATAGGTTGTTGTCTATCTTCGGCTCGTTGGTCTGAGCTAGAAAGGATAAATTTAAAGCTTCTGTAGACGAAGAAGTTTTTGGGTAAAACTCGTAGTTGAACTGTTGTATACCACCGATGATGATTTGACGGCCGTCCGGCAATATGTGATTGGTGGCGTACCACCTTACTTGAGCTAACCCAGAGTGGACTTCCTCCCAATCACAGTCACTACATGGCCGATAAATTCTGACCACACGATCTCCATCGTTCCACCCACCGGTTTGGATCAGACGGCCGTCGGGCATGACAGCACCCGAGGAGCACCACGTGTCAGTGAGGATCATGAGGGGACGTATAGTGTTGGTTGCGACGTCGTATTCGGCAGAGTGGGCCGTGCAGTCGGTTTTTAAAACCAATTCCTTGGGGTTGTTGCGGCATTTGCCATTTGGCAGTGAGATGTTGGAGTGGCCGAAGTTGGTTCGGTCGAAGATAACAACTCGGTCGTTGTGGAGGAGTTGCATGTGCATGGCTGAGATGCCAATGTTGTGACTTAGAAGGTTCCACCGCCCGCCGGTAGAAGCGTGGGTCAGATTCAGGCAACATTGTCCGACTGCTATAAATAGTAGCTGCCGGAGGAGGAAGGAAAGAAGCGGCATGAATTTTGTCTTGGGGGCTATGTGGGTGTTTGATAGGTGAGATTTGAGAATGTGACACTGGGGACTTGCAAGGATTTGTAGGGAAATGATTTACTGTGTTATTTGCTTTTGGTAGGTATATTTTATGTCCTGCATAGTTATTATTGCCATTATAAGCCTCTGCAAAAATAAATAGTACACGTGAGGTCCATGCATTAAAGATTTGGCACTAATTATATAGCCTTATTGATGTCAGAAAAAATAAATGTATAATGTATAAATTGTGTGTGTATAGGCGTGGACTTTGAACAGGAGATGGAGGAAAAAAATTGTAATGATCTTGATTTTTCTTATTTTTTAATTTTTGAAAATTTTTAATTTTTCTCAATTATTTTTGTCTTGCCTTATTATAAGTAGCGGACATCGCAGGAGTTTAGAACTCTTGAGAATATATTAGTTGCTATTTCAGTATTTTTTTATATTTTTGACTGAGATGAGACCCTTTACCAAAATTATTGAGTACGATAACTATATTTCGGGTTTATTGCATTTCATGTGTGTGGTTGGTATGTATGTATATATAAAAAGACATAGATATTTATTTTTTACAATGTGACCCACAAATGATTTTGGTCATGATCGGACCATATTACTACGTATTTCTTCCTTTTCTTGTGCAATTTCTTTCTTCCTATCTGTATCAGTTTTAAGCATGACAGCACCCGAATAGCACCACGTGTCAGTGAGGACCATGAGGGGACGTATAATGTTGGTTGCGACGTCGTATTCTACTGAGTTAGCCGTGCAGTCGATGGTTAATGCTTTGTCCTTGGGGTCGTTGCGGCATTTGCCAGTGAAATGTTGGAGTGGCCGAAGTCGGTTCGGTCAAAGATGACAACTCGGTCGTTGTGAGGAGTTGCATGTGCATGGAAGTTTCCACCGCCCACAGGCAGAAGCGTGGGTCAGATTCAGGCAACATTGTCCGGATACTATAAATAGTAGCTGCCGGAGGAGGAAGGAAATGAGCATGTTTTTGGTCATGAATTTTGTTTTCTAGATATGAAAGGTGTTTGATTGGTCAGAATGTGATGGTGGGGACTTCAAGATTTATATGATGGAAGGATTCATGTTTCCACACGCAAGTAAACGCGGGGAATTTATTTACACTATTTTTTTCTTTTTGCCAGAAGTAATTAATATTTTTAAATTTCAAAAATGAAAATAGCAACTATTATATTTATGGGGAAAAAGAAGAAGATAAAAGTAACTACCATAGCAAAGAGGAATTACTAAGAAATGCAATGTTTTTGGTTTTGATAGGTGTATTTGATGTCGCATTAAATAAGGTTTGGTTAATAGAATAATACTGGTTCAGGATGGACTATTAGATTTAAGAATTATTATCTTTTAAAAGTTGTATGTATTAAGTAATTTCTAAGATGCCATTGTCACGATTATGTTTGAGATGAGGTGTAATTGGATCATTTTGCCATAAACTATAGCAAGTGTAATTTTAAAATGAATAATAAATAAAGAGAAAATGAAAAGGAAAAAGATTGAATACGAAATTCAAATTGATGAATCGAATGATAATGAAAAAATATGATAACACTTTGAGTCATGCAACGCCATAGTAATGGTTCCAAAACTTTTTGGTGAATTTTTTTTTGAACATATTTGTGCATGGCATGATTTTTTTTTTTTTTTTTCACAAATAATAAGTCACATATTTTAACCAAGGTATGAAGGAAGTGATACAAAACTTTCAAAAGTTCAAATTAAAAATTGAGGAAAATTAAAATTTTAACATGAATAGGTTCTTGCACAACAGTATCTTATTATTATGATTGGGAAATTATAGCGATTAATTATCTTTGATACACCTGCAATTTGAGCAGTATGGTCGGAGAATATTGCAGAATATAATCAATATATTGCTTTTGACTCTTGCATTTGAAAAGCAACATTGTCGACCTAATGAACTTTCAAAAAAAAAAAAAACACATTGTCAGACCTGCTTATTAACTGTTACTCCAAAAAGTGTTAGCCTTTAGGTAAATAACTACGTGTCTAAATTATGACCAGTGATAGAGAGTTTGTGGACAAATCGGTTTAATTTTATGGGAGTAGAGAGATTGGTGTTATTATAATATTAAAAGTATTAATGACATCATGCTGATGTCAATTATCAATCACACATAAATCAATGAATGTCACTCTCAGTCATTGTTTTTACTTTAAAATTCAGAAGATCATTTAGTTAGGAGTAACAATTTTTGTTAGTGTATATATATATATATATATATATAACCAAAACCTCATTCATATATATATTTATGTATAATCAAAAGCTCATTCACGATTTTACACTAAAAAAAAAACAAGAGAGAGAGAGACAAAACAAAAGAATATAATCATCACCTAATTGTAAATATATACTGTATAATATATCTATCAATTTATCACTTTCCCATAAAAATATAATATTTTTTTCTACTTTCCCAAAATATAATATTCTTTCTCACTTTTTAAAAAAAAAAGTATTTCATTTTGACTTTACCACAAACAAATAGATTGGTTCCATCACATTTTCAATCTTCTAACATTTTTCACAATCCAAACAAAGCAAAGCAACCATTTATCAATAGACAGAGACTCAGTCAATTGTACTACAATGCGACAGACAGGAAATCTGATTTTTTTTTTTTTTTTTTATCATCTAAATTTAAAATTATAATTCTAATTAAAAAATTATTAGTTATTATTATCAAAATTATTTTAGAGCCTGTTGTTCTTTTAAAATTTAGTTTGTGTAATTGTGTTACTAATTATTATTTTCTAAATAAGACTTAAAATTTGTTTTTATTTGCAGCCCAAATCAATGAAATCACATATTCACTTATATCATGTATTTTTATTTTTATTCTTTTTACATATGTGATATATTAGAAACATTAGGTAACTGTGTTATTTTCTTTTTCATATTTTATTTTTGATTCATTGAATATGATTTTTTTTAGTATATTTAATTGAATGAACTCAATTTTGAAACTGTAATGTATTGAATAAAAAAATCATTGTGAATGTATTGAATAAAAAAATCGTTTTGGTTCAAATTATATATATATATATATATATATATATATATATATATTATGTTACATCATGATGATGTCATTAATATTTGTGATGACATGATGACATCATTCCCTACTTGCAGAAAATTACTCGAATGCGTCGGTTGGACTTAAGCACTAAAAAGAAATCACGATTGAAGAATATTAAACATAAACACGACAGGTTGATTGGTTACATCAATTCAAAACAACTAGATTGAACATAATTAAGCCAAACTCAACCCCCCTCCTCCCCAAATTCTCTTGAAACTATATTAGTGCTACTTATTAATTATAGCTATTAATAGTAATTTTGTGTAGAAAATTAAAGTTCTCTCATCCAATTTTTTCTCAAATTAAACTCCATTAATACTACTGCTTGTTCCAAAACCCTAATGGTTTGACCATGTAACAACTTGTGATCTATTTAGTTGAAAATGTTGTTTATGTTTGGTAATTAAGTAATATTAATTTTCTTAAATTTATTTGCCAACCCTTAAAAATTAATTTGTTAGATACATTAACTTAAATCCTGTTCATCCGTTTGGTCAAACAAACAAAATTGATTCCTTTAATATCAAAACATTATAAAAAGTTGTTAATTAGTTTAACTCTGAAAATTGTTAGTGCAAAGTAATCAGTGAATGCATGTGGTTGGTCCTAAGAGATAACTATGCCTACGTAAATTCAACTTGAATGCATGTGGTTGGTACTAACTGATTACCAATGCCATTTGTGCAAAGAAATAATAGCTGAAAATGTCGTCACTCAAAGCATTTTAAAAGTTGTTAATCACTGTACCTTTTGCCCACGTAAATTGAGAACTAATTTCAATATTACCAGCATTGAATTTTGATTCTTTTTAATGTGCTTGTCACAAATTGAATGTTTCTCTTGAGGAATTGTAACTTATAATTTGTGAGTCTTAATTTTTTATTTTTTTTTATTTTTATTTTGGGACAGAGATAATAGTTAATAAGTCAAATAAAAACAGGCGAGTTATTTTCGGTCATCTTAATGGATGGCATGACCATGAATGAAAACAATTTGATTAATAAAACGCGTTCTCATTTTTTCAAATAATAGAAAAATGGTTTAATTTCAATGACACCCTTTTAGGTTTGACTAAATATCACCTTAAAACACCTTTCGAAAATTACTATCATTCACACCCAAAACGTTTGTTCAGTTTTTCTCTCATACTCCAACCATCACTTGCAAAGCTCTGACATCATACAAAATGGCTTAAATACCTTTTGACTTGTCAAAGAGCTCTTTTAACCTAAATAATTTGATTAAAAGTCTAAAATACCCTAAATACTTTGTAAAATTACAATTTTATTTTACGCGCGCGCGCGCGCGCGCACACACACACACACACACACATATATATATACTATATTTTTATTATACTATATTCATATATATATATATATACTATATTCATTTGTCGCAAGAGAAGCATCACCGTTGGAGATGACGAAGTTTCCCAACCATCCTCCGACAGAATAAGCCTCAAAAACAGCAATTAAATATAAGGATTTTGTTATTCTATACAATCTGAATTTAATGGTGAAATTTATTTTTATCTGAGATTGAGTTTTTTGAATTATGAGTGTATATACAAATATTCAGACTCCATGATCACTGGCAACGAATGTAGTTATAGCTTCTGGTGATGTGACTATCGTTGCTGTTGGGATTCTTGGCTTAGGTTTTAAAGGTAAGGGTGAGATGGGTAAAGGGTTTGGGCTTCCAATTGGTTGTGCACACCGAAAAACATGATAAATTAGAGTGGTTAAATGGGATGGTGTCTAGTAATTAATGAGGGGTTCGCTATCACCACCGTCGACGACTTTAGCAAGGCCTTGAACCTCCTCCAGTCTTCCATCGTCGGCCTCAATTGGGTCCACCCTGTCTACAACTCCAGAGAAGTTGGAACAGACCTATCTGTGGGGGCAAAAATCTCCCCTTCCAATTAAGACAAGACACGTCAGCACATAAGG